CACTATAATACGATATACAGATACAATAATATATATACTACATATAATATATACAGTAATATATATATACTATAATATAATATATAGATTCAGTAATATATATACTATAATATAGAGAGACAATAATATATATATACATGTATATTGTAATATGATAAATAAATAAATAGCTTTCAAACTATTGATTACATTAGTTGTTAATAGGTGATTGAATCAGCACTATAAAACAATAATGAATTAAATATTACATTACCATTATGTCTGTGACAGTAGCACTCAAGTACATTGGGGATATCTCATCTAACAGACAAAGTCCAAATGCTGATGTTAATTGTTGGGGATATCCCATCTAACAGACAAAGTCCAAATGCTGATGTTAATTGTTGGGGATATCCCATCTAACAGACAAAGTCCAAATGCTGATGTTAATCGTTGGGGATATCCCATCTAACAGACAAAGTCCAAATGCTGATGTTAATCGTTGGGGATATCCCATCTAACAGACAAAGTCCAAATGCTGATGTTAATTGTTGGGGATATCCCATCTAACAGACAAAGTCCAAATGCTGATGTTAATCTAGTCATCCATCATGGAAAATCAAATAAGGGAACGAAGCTGAGTGCTTACACAGACAATGTCTCAGTTTCTCTTGTCTTTCACTGTCTATAGCCAGTTGTGGGATGGCAGTTACCCTTAAATTTCTTGAAGTGGAAATGAAACCACCTAACATTTCTACTAATTAAACTCCCAACCTCCGCCCTTATGAAAAGATATTAAATATACTACAGAATATACTATAATATATACTAATATTTTACACAGCTGTATTTTCAAAAGCATATGTAGTTATCAAGACATAAAAGTGAGTGTTGATCATAATTTTTTTAAACTGTAAAGAGATTGTTATTTCTTTGAAAAGAAAGTAAAGTTTTCTTTACATTTTGACAGTGCCCATTATTGTGGCGATTAACAAAATGGACAAACCAGCAGCAGACATCGTAAGTTCTGTATATTACATGTTGTTGGTTTAGTAAATTCATCATTTAAGTTGAAATATAAACATATACTCAATGGAAATCAAGAATTTCAGAAATTAAAAATATTTTAAAGTATTGGAAACATGTTAATATTTATTAATTTTTTTTTCTAAGTTAAAAATATTTAGTTGTTTCAATCTGAAAATATAATTTTGATTTTTCTATAACTTGTTGGTTTTGTAACTTAAGGTTTCCTTCTTAGGACAGAGTAAAGCAGGGACTTCTAGCTCAAGGGATACAGTTGGAAGAAATGGGAGGGGATGTACAATCAGTGTGTGTGTCTGCATTACAGGTTAGTGTGTTTAATACCAACATTCAAACCATATGTGATGGTGTATCAGTACTACATTCAGAGGGTTGAGATGTTCAGTTACTCTGTTTTCCTACATTACAGGTTAGTGTGTTTAATACCAATGTTTAAACCATATGTGATGGTGTATCACTACCTCCTACATTCAGTGGGTTGAGATGTTCAGTTACTTATGTCTGTCTTGTTAGAGGCCAGTGGCTGTCATTCTGTTAGGTGATAGTATATCTGTACAACATTCAGTGGGTTGAGATGTCCAGTTGCTGTGTTTGTCTACATTACTGGTTGTGTGTTTACTGTTACTATGCTGTCATTCTGTTACATGATAGTGGGGTTTTTAGTCAGAGTGTTTGTCTACAGTATTGGTTATTGTATTTGATAATATTATGTTCATGTCACTGTTTAAAGTAGTGTTGTATACCTTGCAGGGTACAAACTTGAACCTACTAACTGATGCTCTCCTGACTCAAGCTGAGCTGGCCAATATTGTTGGAGATCCCAAAGGACATGTAGAGGGAGTGGTTCTAGAGTCAAGTCTTGATCCAGGGAGAGGGTGAGATGTGTAGAAAGTTCTGTTGTTGATTTTAAGTATTGGTTAAGCTCCCATATTATATTAAATCATCAGATTAACTGCAGTTTAAGTGTACATATAGTATGAATTATCAGATCAAACTCAGATTAAGTGTATATGTGAAGTTGAATCATCAGATTAACCCTCTTTCTCTGGGTCTTCCTATGATCAAGGGTCAAAGGGCATGTCATCACATTTGTAGACTTACATTCAATATTTTATGAATGTATGCCAGTAAGTTTGTTATCACATTGTAGATTATAATTCAAATTTCAGAATTATACATTAGTTGATTTCTTATTTTAAAAGTAAGTATTAAAAAAAACCCTAAATATTGATTATTTTATGTGTCACGTGGTATGTTGAATAGAGCTTTGATTCAAATTAGGTATTTGTCATGTCCCAATATAAAGTATATAGTTTCTTACAAATTAGAAACTCAAATTACAGATACTGACAAGCTAGAATATAAAATAAGAACCTCCCATCTTTTCTATTTGTTGAGATATGCTACATTTAGTAAATCAAACACAGTGGACTCGACATGGCCAGGTGGTTAGGGCAACTGACTCTCAATCTGAGGGTAACGTGTCCGTATCCCTGTCCCACTGAACATGCTCACCCTTTCAGCTGTGGGGGCATTAATGTGATGCTCAATCCAACTATTCTTGGGTAACGGAGTAGCCAAAGAGTTGGCGGTGGGTGGTGATGACTAGCTGCCTTCCTTCTAGTCTTTCATTGCTAAATTAGGGACAGCTAGTGCAGATGGCCCTTTGTAGCTTTGCGCTTAATTCAAAACAAATAAACAATGAAATACAGTGGCTCCGTCCATCTCTTTCCATTTTTGAAATACTTGTTAACGTACACCTACTTCTGTCTATGATGTGTGAATAACCAAAAGCTCAGAATGTCCTTTGTCTTGAATCATCGAAGGAAGTGGTAAGTGAAAATGTTGTCTGAAAAACTATATTTTCTTTTATTCAAATACAGTTTAGTTAGTAATCCTGATAAATTACAGTGGAATTCTGCATTACTGATAGAGTAATTTATAATATTTGATTATTTCAAAATGAATATACAAAACCTAAAAAAATTATTTTGTTTTACATCATCCAAGCGTGAAATTTGACAAGGCTTAGCAAATTATGGCAAGTGGGCAAATGAGTACAAAGTTTGTAAGTAGAAGAGATCATTGTTTTCTAAATTTATTTACTTACTGTTCTATGTTTCAAGAGAAAAACTGAAATTTTAGAACTTATAAATAGTAATAATATATATATATATATATATATATGCATACTTTACAATCAACTGATTCAAATGCATCTCACATGTAAATCATCATGCGACAACCCTCCACCAATAAGAGTGTGACACACTTTCTTGATGCATGTGACTCCTTTTATCTCTCTCAACATGGTCAATTTGACCGACCACGTTACCTTTTTGTACTCGTTTAAAGTCTTTATAGATTTAATACTTGTAACTTTCAATATAGTGTTTATACCTACAAAACATTTGGCAGTCTTTCAGTTAATATTATGTCTTTCACATACAAAAAATAATATTTTTAGTGAAGTATTTTTAATAAAATTTAGATTTCTCCATGAATATATTATTTATTTTGAATAGTCTGTGTGCAAAGTAAGTTTCATGTTAAAATTAAAAATACTTTTCCTTATCTTAAAAATCTCAAATTTCCATTGTGTAATCCCTAAAACCTCCTAAATGCATTTCAAACGTTTTTTCAATAAAACTTTATAGTTTATTTATTATTTTCTCTACCCTGTCTCAGAATAGGATTGGCCAATTTGACCGACCTCTTAACCACCAAAGAAAATATCTAAATTAATTTAAATTACCCTTTTTTCTTTCTAGAATGACTTCAAATTGTAACATGAAACTACATTCGTTTATCCTAAGTAGCTCTAAGTTCATAACCTTATACATCTATTTATAATTAAATTTTATTGTTTGATTGTCTTTTGAACTGTGTCTAACTACTATCCCCACCATTATAAGTTGTAAATCACTCAGGTAACATGCAGCTCATGTTATGCTAACAAATTTCATTACCCACGAGCCGCTCGTTTTTGTGCCTCATGAAATATTAATATTTATTTTACCTAATCTAATCTTGGCCATAACTAAATGCAGTCTTAGGTTTATCTGCTTCAGCCATTTTCACTTGATGGAAACCTGACTTTAAGTCCAGAGTTGAAAACCATCTGGCTCCAATTAGGGCATCAAGAGTATCATCAATTCTTGGCAGTGGGTATGAGTTTTTTTCGGTTATACTGTTAAGAGCTCTGAAGTCCACACAGCAATGCCGGGTCCCATCCTTCTTCTGGATTAACACGACGGGAGCTGACCAGGGACTATCTGATTTCTCGACTATCCCTTCCTTAATTAAACCATCCATGAACTTCTCCATCTTTTGTTGCTTTGCCATAGCTATTCTCCTTGGAGGGAGCTTTATTGGACGGTGATTGCCCGTGTTTATTCTGTGCTCCACAAGGTCTGTGCAGCCGAGGTCATGATCTCCTTTTTTAAAAGACGTCTGCATAATTCGCCAAGAGTTCTCTAACCTGAAGAGCCTGTGATGATGACAAATGGACTATGATCTTCTTAGGTCAGTTAAATGTTCTGGGAGAGGATGTCCTTTCTTTATGGTTGTATTTCTTGCCTTAAGATTGACTGGCTCTACCTCCTGGCACACACCCAACAATGCCTTTCCTTAAGTGTCTGCTCACATTTAGAGAAATTAGTCACTGTTATGGGTACTACTTGATGACCTGCCACAAGTTACCTTCCAATGTTCACGTTTCCTGGCCTAGATGGGTCTTCCACTGCTTCCACAAGCATCGGGCTTCTTTGGGGATGTTCTTTTATCCTACCCCAAATTATCTTCTCTGACATATGGGGTATTGTAGTTGACTTAAGTGCTGTGACATGCATATCAACAGATGCAGCAACACTTACTGGAATTTGGCCTTTGTTGTTCCCCAACATCACTATATCAAAATTAACCACACACTTCCTCGGTAGTAAGTAATCTAACCCTCATATGCATTGGTCTTCAATGTCAGCCAAGTATACTTTCTGTCTGTTTTTCATGCCCATGAGCTCAGTAGTTATCCACACTGGTCCCCACAACCTTGCATAATGTCCTGTCATACCACACCACAGAGATTCTGTATGGCTTCTGGTACTCCTTTGTGATCTAGCACCTTGATACTCACAAGGGTTTGCTGAGATGAAGAATCTATGACAAAGTTGCACTTTTGGCCATCCAGCTTTCCTTTCACGTAGACACCATGTGTACTTGCCATTTTACACTTAGCTGTTGGGACTTTCACAATGGGGGTTGGTGGGTGTCCCTCAACACCAACCACTACTAGTTTCCCCGAGGCTGACTTATTGGTAGTATTCTTCATATACTGGCTCCTCATATGTCCTTGCTCTCCACAGTTCCAACAACCTTTCTGGGTAGCAGCCTTTCCTGCCGTGGCATCTTCCCTGTGTTGAAGTTGCCAACATTCAGCTCTCTTGTGCCCAGGTTTGTTACAGTGCCAGCAAAGCTCCTCAAACCTCTCTGAAAAGCTGACCTTTTCTGCCCTTGTTTGGATCTTCTGGAAAGGGATGCTGCCTTATCCTAGGTTCATTTACTGCCTTCTTATCTCTGGGATTTACTTATGGCCCCTTTTCTTTGGTGGCATGTTTTTTGTAATATTCTTGAGACTTTGGAATCCAGTGTGGAGTTGGTGCAACAGCAAATTACCCCTTTCTTCTTTGTTGGATCATTTGTGTCATTCTGAACCTAGACAAGCCCCAATTACTGTTTCATGTCCTGCTCCTTCTCAACCTTTGCTCCAGGGGTTCTTCATCTCATAATTTTATTAGACACAGAGGGACATATTGCCAACAGTACTGGTAACTACCTGGTGGTTTCCGGTCCAATGGGGGCTCTCTTGTCTGATTTTGTTCCCTTTTGGCGACTTTTTGCCACAGATCTTTGGGTTATTTGGGTTTTATCCGAGGGACTTGTCATCCAGTTTTTTACCTCTGTCACCTGAAATACCCATTTCCTTTCCATTGCCTCATGAATTTCACCAGTCAGCATCTGTCTGAGGCAATACAAGATCTTCTCTCCCAGTAAGCCATCGAACCTGTCAATCATCCTTCTCTATGTTTTTATTCCAGGCTGTTTGTCATTCCCAAGAAAATCGGGGACAGGTAGCCTGTGATGGATTTGTCCCACCTCAATAAATTTTTGGTTCTACCTCAATTTACCATGGAGTCTTTTCTCACCCTCAGGTAGGCTTTTTTTCTGGGTTTGTGGATGATGGATGACCAAGGTAGACGTTGCGAAGCATTATCTGCATATCCCGATATCTTGTCAGTTGAGATACTATCTTCAGTTCGTTCATGACAGGGTAGACTGCTTATTTCTAATTTCCATGGCCATAAAATGCTCACTGTTGAGATGGAGTGTTCTACCAGATTGGTTGTAGGTTTGTCCTTGTGACATTTTTGCTTCATTAGTATGCCCATTCCAGACCATACTCACTCTTTTTCCTCGTCCTCACACATGTATTAAAAATGTCTGTTTTCTCACTGAATTATACTCTTGTTCCTCCACTTGTGTTGTGGGTCACGATAGAGGTACTTGCAGATTAATATGGTTCTTCCTCTTATGCTACCCTTTGATGATTTTTTTCTTATACCAAGGATGTTATTGTGCTAGAGGCGGTTCCTATCGGATTGGTTTTGAGTGAGATAGCTTACATTACAGAGACATCTTCATGATACTGATCATCTGGATGTCAGGTTCCCCCGATTGGTCAATCAATATCAGGTTTTGTATTGTAGTTGACATACTGGTGGTATGATCTTACTCTGTCCCTTGATGATTTTTTTCTTATACCGAGGATGTTATTGCACTAGGGGCAGTTCCGATTGGATTGGTTTTAAGTGAGATAGTTTACATTACAGAGACATCTTCATGATACCGATCATCTGGATGTCAGGTTCCCCAATCAGTCAGTCAGTGTCGGGTTTGGATTGTAGTTGACTTACTGATGGTATGATCCTCATCCTATCCTTGCATGGATGTTGGTTCACGGAGGCCTAAGTTTTTGGATGCCAACTGACTTGCCGTGTAAGGTCCATCATGTCCTAACCACTCTACACCTAGGGACACATCCTTTCACTTTCACCCACATTCGAGTATTCTGTGGGGGTTGAGATTTGTTATTTGGTGGTTCGGATCCCTATCCCACCATTATTCTCTCCTGTAGGGACATGCTCCTTCCTTTTTCTGCCCATGTCTGAGACACCTTGTTACAAACTGGACAAAGAGTATACCTGGTCCTTCGGACGCTTTTGAGGAATGCTGCTTTATTTTTCCCTCACACCAGTCCTCCACCTATTCTGTGTGTGATTCTAGCTATTTATGTGAGTGGAGTGAATGTACCAGATCAGAAGTTATAATTTTCCCATACTGAAAATGTATTTCTGATAGGTACTTACCTCCTTTCACACTTCCCACCCTTCCTCCCCACTCAAAACTGGTACTTCCATTTTCTGCCAAAACTCGAAGTGATAGTTCAGTAGAATCAAATAGAGGAAGTCACATGTGTCAAGAGAGTGTGTTGCACTCTTATTGGTGGAGACTTGTTGCATGATGACTTGTATGCAAGACACATTTGAATCAGTTAATTGTAAGGTATGTGGAAGCTCAAGGCTTGTGGCATGTAAAAAACATTTTTGCATATAGAGGGCAGCACTGAATCTGAGTAGCTATTTATGTGAGAGGAGGAAGGTATCTATCTGAAATATATCTTCATTATAGGAAAATTATAACTTGTACTATTGGATATGCTAACGTGACTGCTCGTGCACCCCTTGGCAATTTTTTAATGCTATTTAGACACAGCTGAAAGATTAATGAAATATAAAAATATATATATACATGTAGATGTCTAATGTTATGAGATTTAAGCTATTTAGACTAAACATTTGTGGTTTCTTGTTATAATTTTGTAGTCATTCTAGAATGAATTCCTAATTTTTTATGTTGGTTACGAGGTTGGTCAAATTTACCAAACCCATACATAGATATAATAGTGAAAATAACAGATAAAATATAAATTTTTTTAACTAAAAAAACGTTTGATAATTAACTGAAGGTTATACAGATTTTGCATGTGAAGTTTGACAATTTCCTGATACATAAAAGAATTTTTAATCTTAAAATTAAAATTACTTTGAATGTTGGATAGTCAACATTCGAAAAGAAAACAATGCATGAACAAATCATTCCTTAAAAAATCTAAAACTTAAAAGAATAATCTAATATTTTGTATACTAAAGCCTTGTAATAAATGTTTACTGATAATCTGCAAAATTTCATGAAGATACGCTTCCTGTATTAAAAGTTATAGTTTAAAAACTATAACAAGCACAAGATGGTTATGAGGTCGGTCCCTGGGACCAAGCCCATAGTGAGAGAATTAGACATGTTTATTGTACACATCTTACTAAATCATCAGATTAATCACAGGTTAAGTGTGGACATTTGTTTGTTCAATGAAGTTTTTACTCTTAACTTTGCCAATCTCGATCATGATAAATTTATCACAGTTTGAAATGTCCTTGCTGGTTGGTTGTTCAGCTTTAGTTTTAAGTTACAAATCATTTCAACATATTCATACCTGATTGTTACAAAATTAATAAGTATTCTAATTCATAGAGCATATGAACTTACTAACTCATATTGTTATTTTCATGAAGTTATCAATGTTTGATTAAAAATGTCTTACCTCTAGCACTCATTAACAAAAGAATTTTTGAATATATCAGTAAAGTTTACAACCCCAAGATTCCAGACTTCAACATTCCCAAATGTCCTTGATGTTACCCTTCATGGTATCAAACTAATAAGACAAATCAAAAACATTCTGCAATCAACTTATCCCAAGTCAGCCTAAGAGTGATCTTCAAACCAAACAAAAATAAGCAACTTTTTCCTGTTTAAGCATAAAATACCTTCTTCAAAGAGATCGCTGGTGGTGTATTAATACAAGTGTCCATGCTGCAGGCTGGACAACCATCTAAGCAAAGATTGTAGCGAGAAACCTAACATCGAACTGTTCAAAATAATAGTTTCAGTAAAAGACCAATGGAGAAAGGAAAAAGGAAGAACTCCTGATTCATGATTTGAACCCAAAGCTTTAACTACCAGCTAACAACACCATTACATCTCAAACTGTGATAAACTTATCATGCCTGAAATAGGCAAGGTTAAGAGTGAAAACTGTGGAACAAACAAATGTCAACATCTATATCAAATGCATTCAAATATATGATTCACAGGTTAAGTTTACATGTGATATTAAATTATCAGATTAAACTCAAATAGTGTGCGTTTATCAAGTTAAGTCATCAGATTAAACATGTTTATTGTCTGCATCTTACTAAAACATCAGATTAACCATATGTTAAGTGTACATGTGATATTAAATTATCAGATTAAACTCAAATAGAGTGTGTTTATCAAGTTAAGTCATCAGATTAAACATGTTTATTGTCTGCATCTTACTAAAACATCAGATTAACCATATGTTAAGTGTACATGTGATATTAAATTATCAGATTAAATAAATGTGTATATGAAGTTAAGTTAACAGATTAAACATGTTTATTGTCTGCATCTTACTAAAACATCAGATTACCCACATGTTAAGTGTATCTGCTCTGAAAGTATCTGACTAAACTCAGATTAGGTCATCAGATTAAACATGTTTATTGTCCACATCTTACCAAATCATCAGATGAACACAGATGGTGTCAGTGTGATATTAAATCATCAGATTAAATACAAGTATTCCTGTCATGTTAACTTGTTAGATTAACCAGATGTTAAATGTTCCTGTCATATTAAACCATTAGATTAATCACAAGTATTCCTGTCATGTTAACTCATTAGATTAATCACAAGTATTCCTGTCATGTTAACTCGTTAGATTAACCAGATGTTAAATGTTCCTGTCATATTAAATCATCAGATTAATCACAAGTATCCCTGTCATGTTAACTCATTAGATTAACCAGATGTTAAATGTTCCTGTCATATTAAATCATCAGATTAATCACAAGTATTCCTGTCATGTTAACTCATTAGATTAACCAGATGTTAAATGTTCCTGTCATATTAAATCATCAGATTAATCACAAGTATCTCTGTCATGTTAACTTATTAGATTAACCAGATGTTAAATGTTCCTGTCATATTAAATCATCAGATTAATCACAAGTATCCCTGTCATGTTAACTCATTAGATTAACCAGATGTTAAATGTTCCTGTCATATTAAATCATCAGATTAATCACAAATATCTCTGTCATGTTAACTCGTTAGATTAACCAGATGTTAAATGTTCCTGTCATATTAAATCATCAGATTAATCACAAGTATTCCTTGTGTATTAATGTACCATATTAACCACAGCTTATGTGCACATGTAGTATTATTAAGTTAACCATATGTTTAAGTATGCACATCATCCGAGTTTCCTCGGATTAATTGTGTGTTAATGTGAATGAATAAGTAAAACATATAGAGGTTATAAATTGTGCAGAATCTATTTATCATATATGTTGCTTCAGTAAATCTGGTTCTCATTGTATTCTGAACCCCCTTTGTACTCATTTGTTTTTTAGAAAATTATCAACTGCTTTGATACAAAGAGGAACATTAAGGAAAGGAGCTGTACTTGTTGCTGGGACAGCCTGGGCTAAAGTGAGTAACATTAGATCTGGTTTGTATTATGCAACATATTTGGATTATCATCATGTTATTTTAGATCCTGTTCTTTGCTGATCACCATTGGACCTGTAGAAGGATCAGGTAATTGAGCCGAAAGATTGTGTATTAAGAAACAACTGAAATTACATCGTGATACTCAAAACAAACTACTTAATAGAAATAGGAGTATTCACGATGTAAGCCTAAAAAGATATTAAATTTTGTTGTTGTAAAAACCTGTACTAATATGAGTAAAAATAAATCTGGTTGTTGAGACAAACTGTACTACTATGAGTAACAATAAATCTGGTTGTTGAAACAAACTGTACTACTATAAGTAACAATAAATCTGGTTGTTGAAATAAACTACTACTATAGGTAACAATAAATCTGGTTGTTGAAACAAACTGTACTATTATAAGTTACAATGAATCTGGTTGTTGAAACAAACTGTACTACTATAAGTAACATTAAATTACATTGTTGAAACAAACTGGACTACACTAAGTAACATTAAATTACGTTGTTTGAACAATCTGAACTACTATAAGTAACATTAAATTACGTTGTTTGAACAATCTGAACTACTATAAGTAACATTAAATTACATTGTTTGAACAATCTGGACTACTTTAAGTAACATTAAATTTAGTTGTTGAAACAAACTGGACTAGTTCAAGTAACATTAAATTTAGTTGTTGAAACAAACTGGACTACTTTGAGTAACATTAATTTACGTTGTTTGAACAATCTGAACTACTTTAAATAACATTAAATTACGTTGTTGGAACAAACTGGACTACACTAAGTTACATTAAATTTAGTTGTTGAAACAAACTGGACTACACTAAGTATCATTAAATTTTGTTGTTGAAACAAACTGTACTACTTTAAGTAACATTAAATTACATTGTTTGAACAAACTGGACTACTTTAAGTAACATTAAATTATGTTGTTGAAACAAACTGGACTACACTAAGTAACATTAAATTTAGTTGTTGGAACAATCTGAACTACTTTAAGTAACATTAAATTTAGTTGTTGGAACAATCTGAACTACTTTAAGTAACATTAAATTACGCTATTGGAACAATCTGAATTACTTTAAGTAACATTAAATTACGTTATTGGAACAAAATGGACTACTTTAAGTAACATAAATTATGTTATTGGAACAATCTGAACTACTTTAATTAACATTAAATTACGTTATTGGAACAATCTGAACTACTTTAAGTAACATTAAATTACGTTGTTGAAACAAACTGGACTACTTTGAGTAACATTAATTTACGTTGTTTGAACAATCTGAACTACTTTAAGTAACATTAAATTACGTTGTTGAAACAAACTGGACTACACTAAGTAACATTAAATTTAGTTGTTGAAACAAACTGGACTACACTAAGTATCATTAAATTTTGTTGTTGAAACAAACTGTACTACTTTAAGTAACATTAAATTACGTTATTGGAACAAACTGGACTACTTTAAGTAACATTAAATTACTTTATTGGAACAATCTGAACTACTTTAATTAACATTAAATTACGTTATTGGAACAATCTGAACTACTTTAAGTAACATTAAATTACGTTTGAACAATCTGAACTACTGTAAGTAACATTGAATTACGTTATTGGAACAAACTGAACTACTTTAAGTAACATTGAATTACGTTATTGGAACAAACTGAACTACTTTAAGTAACATTGAATTACGTTGTTGGAACAAACTGAACTACTATAAGTAACATTGAATTACGTTGTTGAAACAATCTGAACTACTTTAAGTAACATTGAATTACGTTGTTGGAACAAACTGAACTACTGTAAGTAACATTAAATTATGTTATTGGAACAAACTGAACTACTGTAAGTAACATTAAATTACGTTATTGGAACAAACTGAACTACTGTAAGTAACATTAAATTACGTTATTGGAACAAACTGAACTACTGTAAGTAACATTCAAGTCAGTAGAAGTTATAGATGTTTACTGTTTCTTTAGGTACGAGGAATGTTTGATGAATGGGGGAACCATGTTCTTGCTGCACCTCCATCCACACCAGTACAGGTTATAGGGTGGCGGGAACTTCCAGCAGCTGGAGATGAGATTTTAGAGGTTGAATCAGAGGTAAACTGGATACCTGATAGAGGGAATTCTTGTTGTTTGTGACCTGAATATTTATAACACATGGTATACATTTTCACACTACAGTTGGAGTTCAGCTCAGTAGATGAAATAGTTTTTGTCACTTATATCATTGTTTGAAAGATGAACTACAAGATAAAACTGTACAATCTGTATTCAGGGTCTAGGTGGGACAGGTTTTATACTAATAAAAATGTTCTGTTATTTGGATATACTTAAAACAGGATACAGTTGAACTTAATGGAATCATAGTTAAGTTTTATTCAAAGCTTTTAGTCTGATCATACTATGCTATATTTATTTTGGTAACTTAGATGTTACTCCATCTTGTTCCTTTAGATAGTAGGAACATTCCACTCAACAAGATATATCATACTGTATGGTGTTTAGATGTTTAGTAACTCCATCTTGTTCCTTTAGATACTAGGAACATTCTGCTCAACAAGATGTATCATACTGTGCTATATTTAGATGTATAGTAACTCCATCTTGTTCATTTAGATACTAAGAACATTCCACTCAACATGATGTATCATACTGTGCTATATTTAGATGTAT